ATAATATATATATATATAATGTAAGAGAGAAGGATCTACCCAAATAGTGACTAGGTCGTACGCCACACTGCCGATAGTGGCTGCCGGCGGGGGAAATCCTACTAACCTATGGCTCTATCTACGGTATCCGACGCTTAGAACATTTAGCAGTATTAATTCCCTTTCGTAGTTTATAATGTGATAGTCCTTCTCTTTAGGGTCACTAAGCTGCTAGAGATCATACTGGAGCCATATTGTTATGCCTGTGCACTACATCTAGCCCCAAACGCTCCCGGCAGTGCCTTGTTAATCTCTGGGACAGACTAGTTCTTAGATACGATTGTAACTAAGTTTTTCCTCATCATGAATTGTTTATGTTCTTACTTTCTAGGTTTGATGCGAGTCCCACTCTTGGTGTAGTGCCAGGAACTACAAAATTCGATGAACTTTTCGACCCTCTCAGTGGCCTGCTCATTGAACAGATGCTGCACCACCTTGTAAGCTGTGACCCATTCGTTCCTTTTGGATTCGTTCAAGTGGGAGAATGGAAGAAGTGCCGGAGGAAGACTTCAGAATAGACAACAGCATCGTCCGTTGCCGCATGAGCGACAAGGTGCTAGAACCGGCAAGCAAGAGGGAGGTGCCTGTGGCCGATGTAATTAGTCGACACGTCAAGCAGGTTGCCGATTTCAACAAGGCCCTCGAGAAACGGAGGCTTTGGAGAAAGAGAGAGAAAGAGCTCGAAGCAAAGCACAAGGACACATGTACGGTCCAGTCCGTGGAAGAAAGGGGGACTACAGAGCTTCGGTTTGTGGAGCTTCTTTTGCACTATCAATATTGCTCTTAATTCTTGACTTTCTCATACACGAGTGCGCACGATGCATGTGTTGTTTTGAAGATGTCTGTAGAGCATCCGCCCTCTCATACGCTTAAGTTCCTCGACTACTTTTTGTGTGATACGGTTTCCCATGTCTGCATGTTTAGGGGGAGTTTTGAGATCTGAATGGCATGAGAAAGAGAGCAGGGAGGGTCCCAGTGCCTCCTCCAGCAGAGCAAAAAGGGTCCTAGACTCCATAGTAGTGGAAGGTGTCGATGAGGATGTAGTGGAGCAAGTTAAGGTCAGTTTTTCTTATCGTCCTGACAGTTCAGTTTTCAGTCCCCCTGATTTCCTCTTACGCACAGTTGGCCACCCAGGAACTTTATCGCGTGTGTCGCTTGCTCATTTTTGCCTTCAGGAGAAAGTTGCGAGGGAGTTTGGTTCTGTTGATGTGCATGCCGCCGTCAGGCAAAGAGTTGCGAAGGAGAAAGAAGCGCAGCAACTGCAGCGGCAAAACGAACTTAGTGATGCGTGGATGCCAGACAGATTCTACACTGAAGAGCTGAAACAGGTAAGACTGAGTTACACACCGACTTGTGCGACTCGTACTTCCAACTACGGCTATTGTGGTGCCAGTTGTTTGCTGCGGCTGACTGCTGTTCTGTATACACTTCTTCAGAAAACGCCATGGTTTAATCCTGTCGAATTTCTTAACGAGTTGCAACCCAAGCAGCGCGAGGGGAGGTAGGAGACAATTTTCATCTCTGTAACATTTTCGTCTCCCGTAATGGGGCGCGAACTGTCGCCGCAGCAGCTAGGCGAAGCAAGCTAGTGGATCCCACCCCCCCGCAGGCCCAGAATAGAGATTGAATGTAGTAGACCCCTGTTATTTATGTGTGTAAGCACTGCTCGGCAGCATTTATGTGTGGTAGGTGCTTTTGTCTGTCCCCACATCTCTCGTGACTTGATCTGCCTCTATTATTGATCTTGCCCTATTATGTTCAGCCTCACCCCTGTCGCCTCCGACAGCGACAGCGATTGTAAGGGGCGAAAGAAGAAGAAGAAGCGCAAAAAAGAAAAAAAGAAGCGCAAGAAGAAAGACAGAAAGCGGAAGGACTAGCGAGGGGGCGTTTTGGTGGACTGTGGCATGGTGGTTCTCAGTTCTACAGTAAAAGTGCATTCCACACACAAAAGCAAGGGCTTGGATGGACTACTCTGACTGTTGGTCTGGCCTTACGAGCGGCTATTTGTGCACACAGTGCATTGCTGTCTAAAAGTTTTGGTGTTGCGTCAAATGTGCATCTCTGACGAAGTCAAGGCAAAGCCCCCATTGAAGGGTTCTTGCTGACATATTTTAGATGTGTTATACCATGATTTATATTATGGAAGCGAATTGCATTGTGGGGTTAGTGCGTGACCTTGAAGCTAACCAGCATTGCTCTCCTCGGAAATTCCCTTTTTAAGTAAGACAGATAACTGGCGAGAGGTGTGGCACCTGACGTTTTTTTTTTTAATCCTTAGCTCCTGTCTTAGCTGCGCTGCTTCCTGTCAAGCTCGTGCAAATAACACTAAATTATAATGTGACCCCAGGAAAAATGCTCCAAGCCAGCGTACAAAACTGTATACCATATTTTGGTCCCGGGTTTCAGGCAGCAAAACCTAGCCAGTTGCTGCCAGCATGCCATCAGGACATGAAACTTAGGTGCTGGCAATTTACTGTGGGCACTATGGGAGATGGAAGAGTGGTGTTGTACATAGTTTTGTGACTGTCGTCACAAGCGATGGGTGCCCCGCTGAACATGCCGAACGTACCCTATTGAAGGGTTGGCACACTCAAAACTTATTTGTGGGGAAACTTGAAGGGGACACAGGCTCTGTATAGGATCGGTTTAGTTGCTCGCCTGCCAGCTTTTATTCACATTTACATGTGAACTTGGAGAATCCAAGTGGCCTAGACAGATGAGATATCGGTCTTCGTCTAAATCAGCTCGTCAGGAGGAAATACTGCAGTTCTTTTTTTCCAGTTATTTTTTCCCCATCGTGTCTAGCCGGCTTACACGGACCTGAAAAACCACTGCTAGGCGAGTAAAATTACTTACTAACAAAACTGTTCCACCCTCTGTCACCTAAATATAGGCTATCAGCTGCGCTTCTCCACATGGTCATTCTATGTCACGACGACATGAATTGTGCATACTTGGATAGAGTTGTTGCACTATTGACGGAACGAGCGTTTTACGGGATTAAACGTGAAAAAGCTGTTTTTTTCGATCGCAGAAGGACGAATGAAAAGTGAAGAACGGTTTATGAAGCCTCGGCTAGAAAGCACTTTTGGTGACGAAGAACGCACAAGCATCTGGAATCAGCGGGAGTCGTCATGAACTTTCCCGGTGAACACGGGTGTGCCTTGCCGCCTCATCTTATACTCAGGAACCAATCACCTGTTGATTATTGCTGTGACTTTTTTGTGGGTCAGAGAAACGAAAACTTTCACGGCTGCTGTTGCCGCCCGATGGCAGACCAGCCACAAACGTGGAGAGCACGAATGGATGCACGCTATCCAGTGCATACCAGTCAATGAGTAATGTTTAGACACCTGCAAGTATTGATTGATATGAACCTCCCACAGAATAATTTTTTATTGACAACTTAGGGATATTCGGATGGCAGAGCGGCCAGCACCGGCTGTGTCCACTAGGTGACCACAGTACTACGCTCCCGTCGCTTCACTCTCGAAGAACTACCTGTACGTAAGCGAAGGATTGCTGTTGTTTTTAAAGCTCCAGCTACCCTGGAAGATAAGGCCCCACTGCTCGGCGCCAGTAGCAGTATAGTGAACCGGGAGGAGCAAGGATGCTACACTAGTCGTAGTACTGGTGTTGCTAAGTGTTGTCGGTTTCCGTCCCTTGTATTATTGATGCCTCAGATCTTACTCTGCCATCGGAAAATGCTTCTGTTTCTTCCCTCATTTTTAAGTCTTCTGGGACTACTGCCGCTGGCCTTACAAGGCAAGAAGTCCCCAAAAACTCACTGGTTGCATATAATTAATACTTTGCGCAAGTGAAACATTCCCCAAAATTGCCCCCCCCC